TGATCCAAAAGAAGGCAAAAACCACAGTCTGAAGCGCTTTGTACTGGCCCCGAATATATTTGTATAATGTTATCATATCCCCTCTGAGGCTCCATTTTCCCAAACTAAAGAGATTTACATTTTTTTAACCTTTCTTCATAACTACAGTGCTCCATTCCTTTTATCAATTTTGAAGCTCATCACTTTTTCTAGTGCCATGATATCCTTTTTTAGAACAGGTGCCCAAAATTGCACAGCATATTCAAGGTGTGGTCTTACCAGCGATTTATAAAGAGGCAAAATGATATTTTCATCCTGAGAATATATGCCCCTATTTATACATGACTAAACCTTACTGGTCTTAGCAACTGCAGATTGACATTGCATATTGCTGCCTAATAGACATGTGCAATTCGTTTCATTCTGAATGTCAATTCGGACGAATTTCCTGAGTGGGGGCCCTAAATTAGAATAAGGGGGGGACCTATTGTCCCCACCCCTGAGCGGTGGGTAGGGGCCCTAAAGGAAAATAAAAGGGGAGGGACCTATTGTTCTCCCCCCAGCCCCCACCCCTGAGTGGTGGGTGGGGGCCCTAAATACTAATAAGGGGGGGACCTATTGTCTTCCTCCCAGCTCCCACCCCTGAGCAGCGGGTGGGGGCCCTAAATAACAATGCCCCCCCAGGTGACTAGGGGTCCCCAATCCCCTAGTCACCCCCTCCCCAAAACATTATTTAAATCCCAACCTACCCCCACCCACCCTAAATATAGTGAGGGGGGAACAATAATTAAGTACTTGTAAAAAAAAAATAATAATAAAACTTACCATTTGATGTCTTCTTTTTTTCTAAAATCTTCCTTTTTCAGCCCCAGAAAAGGCCAATTAAAACAGCACAATATCCATCGCACTTAAAAAAACCAGAGCGCAAAAAAAATAATCCATCTTCACCAATGGAGGGCTCCGCGCAGACTGAGTAATTTGACTCATAACAACACTCTGATTGGTGGATTGAAAGTATCCAATCAGAGAGTTATGAGTCAAATTACACAGCGTGGGAAAATTCCAAAGAACTTTCCCACGTTGTGTAAAATGACACAGAGCACTCTGATTGGCTGGATTTCAAGCTAACCACTCAGAGTGCTGTGACAGGTAAATGTAGAGACTTACCTGTCAGTCTCTTCATTTACCTGTCAGAGCACTCTGGTTGGTTGGTTTAAGCCATCCAATCAGAGTGCTCTGAGCCTAATTGCAGGGTGGGGCAAGGCTTGATAAGCCACAGGCTGCTCACTGTTTAATAGACATGCCCCTACTCGCAGTATAGCGAGTAGGGGCAAAATTTACTAATACTAAGTAATTATTACTTAGTATTAGTAAATGTGGCTAAAAGACCATGAGCATTCCCGAGCCACCATTACGCTTAACTGTAGGCAGCATATTCTTTTCAGCACATGATTCATTAATTCTTCTTCCTCAAGACATTGGGCTGAAAAGTTCCAGTTTTTTTTCATCGCTCCACAGAACAGACTCCCAATACGTCTGTGACTTATTTATATGATTTTGAGCATATTTGGAGCTTATTTTTCTTGTGCTTTAGGGTCAGTAGTGGTGTTCGTCTTGGAGTTCTGGCATGGAAACCTTCTGCGTTTAGTACAAGCCTTACTGTGCTCACTGAGACTGCAGTGCCTGTTGCCACCAAGTTTTGCAGTTACTCAAGGGTTTTTCACAACCTGCCTTCTCAGAAATCTGGTTAATAGCATTAATAGCTTGCTTTTTCTGCCCCTTCCAGGTAGTGTAACCACTGTTCCTTCAACTTTGAACTTGTGAACTATGCTTCTAACTGTATCTCTAGGAACAATGAGTGACTTCACAATCTTTTTGTATCCTGTTCCTTTTTTGTGAAGGGCGGTGATCTCTTCTCACAACTTTGTGGACCATTCTTTAGCCATATTTCTGACACTCAACAAACCCCTAGCCAACTCAGGTATTACAAGTGTTCCAGCTCAAGCACACATGGTGCAACTAATGAAGGCCATGGTTCGTTGCATCAGATGTGCTTGAGAAAACACCTGTTTTGCATATTTGTGCTATTTTGAGGAAATCTATTCAGGGAGTTGAATAATTTTGAGACTGGAGAAGCCATTATAAGTTGCATTTTATGTTGAATTTGGAGAAACCACTTGAAGGCTTTGCTGGCTTGAGCTGTTTCAATTGCTTTTGTTTGATTTGTTTATTGCAAACAACTGGAAGTCTGTAAAATTTGACAATGCAAATGATTTTCAATGGGGGTTGATTACAACTGTATATATTTATTCATATGAGTATGACAAATTATTTAGATTGATTAGACAGTCTATGACACATTTTGCTTAAACCAAGTTTTTTTGTTTGATTTGGGCATCAATACACATTCTGCACAGCCCACATGTCTTTCAGTTCTTGTTATTAAAGTGTTTTAGGAAGGCTGGATCAATTTTAGGTCTTGTTGTGAGAGTGTATAAAAAGGCAATGTTCACTTTTTTAAAGTCTTATTATGGCTCTCTATCAGGTGAGCGATTCTGTTATAATTTTTTTTTAAATTAAATTATATATCATAAAACATTTTACATAGATATACACACAACAAAAATTAAAGATGATTTCTTCTGGAATCATACATCACAATAAACATACCATAGTCACAGATGGATATCGCATTACAATTGTAACCATTATACAAGCTGTTGTTATAGTCACTTTTTTGTCTATACAATAATACAAGTTAGATATATAAAATGGCCTTAATATTTAGGGCTTATCTATTAACATTTTCTTAATTTCTTGTTGTTTAGTCTCTCCTTTTCTTTCCTTTTCTCCTCTCCCCCCCCCCCTCTCTTTCCCCTTATTTCTCTCTTTTTCTTTTTCCTCTTTCCTTTCCTTTTTCCCCCTTTTCTTTACCCTTTCTCCTTCCTTCTTTTCTCTCCTTTACCTTTTTTTTTAATTTCTTATAAGTCCTCTATGAAACTGTATTAGTAATCTTATTGTCCATGCATTTTTATCTTCTCTGTGATTATTTCTCATCCATACCAACAATTTAATTTGGGTTAGTTCTTATGACCTTGCATATGTATTTTTCCTTTTCACTCTATATTATTTCCTTTCTTTCTCTTTTTTTCCCTTCTTATTCTCCTTTTTTTTTCTTCCTTATTTTCTATCCCTCCATACGATTAATATAATTTAATAAATCAAGTATTAGTGAATATTTCTTTTCTGTAGTATCTATAGAGAGAATCTTTTTAATTAAATTTCCTTTCTCCCCATTGTAATTTCTAAGATGGTTCTTTAGAAAGCTCTTAATGCACAAATAGTTAAAAATCTCTCTAGAAGGTAAATTCAGTCTTGATTTTAAACTAGGGAAGTCTTCTATTTGGTCATTAAGGTAGATATTTTTAATACATATATCTGGGTCCATATACCAATTCTTCAAATTTATATCGATCATAATATTTTCCACAGTTCTAAGAAAAATAGTATCAGGAATTAAATCTACAATTCCCAGTTTTCTTTTTAGAGTGTACCATTCGTTCATTGTTTGTAGAATGATCCTAGATTTGTATCAGGTGAGTGATTCTGATAGATTTGTCTACTGATATGTATTAAATCCCTTTTATGTTTTCACACAACACTTTTGAATACTGACTCCCTAGGTTCAAAGAACTAGACGGTAAGCCTAAAATTAGCACCGACTGATATGAGGTCCATACCTTGGCACTGATGGCTTTGAGATCCCTGACACAGTACCTTCTGATAAATAAGTGTGATGTTTGTTCAATCCCCTTTTCATGAGGATATAAGAGAGGACCTCAGGATGAAAAAGGCAAAAGGATGTGAGGTCAGTAAAAGTGTGAAAACCAATAACATTTATGATCTTAAAAAGGTAGAATGAGGCTCTGAGTGTGATGACGTGACGCACAGGCGCGCGCCAGTATGAAGGAGGAGACTGACCACACGTGAAGGAAGGAAGGAGAGCATTGTATGCCGCGCCAGTAACTGCAGGCTTACAGCATCGAAGCAGATGAACGCTGAGCGCACAGTGCTAGCACGGATATGGTCTTCAACAACAGGAGAGTACAGAGACTGAGAGAAATCTGTGAATATAGTAATTATATCTGGAAGAGGCCATAGCAGAAACAGATGAGTATAAAAAAAAAGAAAACCCTAAATCTGACAATATAGACAAGGGGCAAGAGAGAAAGAAGGGAAAAAGGCATGCATATTTCAGTGCAATAAAAGGACGAAAGGAAAGTGAGACTAAACAAGGGGGGAATCTAACTATCTGCAGATTAACTCCTTCACCCTATTTCTGTTCAGCAGTATATATATATATATATATATATATTTTATTTATTTTTTTCTGTTACTTGCTGATTTGGTTCTTTTTCCCTTTTCCTCCTTGGGGGATGCCTTTCTGTTAAAGTGACATAGCAGAGAAGAAAAAGGAAAAGACGAGGGAGGGAAAAAGGAAGGAGAAAAGGAAATCTGGTAGTAAGAATGACGACTAAAGGCCAGGCTACAAGATGGAACAAAAAAGAAAATAAACTTGACAAGAGCTTACTGGGATTTTTCTCCCCAGTAGCTATCAAAGAAAAATCTATGATTGTAAATACCGAAAAGGCTGCCCAAAAACTACTAGAGGTCTCCCAAGATCCTGGAGACCAATTTGTATCACAAGCCTTCTTAAAAGAGTGCCTACAATCCATGGTGGAAACACTGAAAGATGACATTAAATCTAGCACTACAGATATTAAACAAGAGATTGGGAATCTAAGTATACGTCTAAACCAATGGGAACACAAAATTGTTGAGATGGAGGAGACTAATCAAATACTAAAAAAGAGACAAGTAATATCTGAACAGAAATGAACAGATATGGAATTCAAAATGGGAGATCTAGAAGATCGTGATAGAAGACAGAACCTTAGATTCAGAAACATAGCGGAAGAAGTGAAGGATGAAGAACTCAAAACATTTTTGGAAGAATGTTTTGAAAAATTGGGAGTTAATATCAAACTATATCCATTTCCAAGGGGAATCTCAGGAAGCACCACAAGGGACGTAATAGTACATTTTTTGTCCTTCCAGATAAAAGATCAAGTCAAAGCAATCAGATCCCTAAATAAGTTAGAAACATCGCTGAGACATATACTAGTATTCCAGGACTACTATTACGTAACAAGATTACGTAGAAGAAATTTTTCTGCAGAGATTACTATATTAAAATCTCATAAAATTAAATTCCGTTGGAACTCTTCGGCAACTCAAAGTGTATATAGCGATAATAGATGGAATTTCTTTAGGGCACCCCAAGAAGCCCCAAGAAGCTAGCCAGTGGATTGAACAAAGAAATCTGAATGGATAAAGATCACCATAAGAAGAAAAGGACAGAAATACAAAGTCAGGATGGATACATATAGACGCACGGAAGTATATTAATTGCATCATTTTTGAAAATAATTATACATACAGCACTACTAAAGATTTAAATTTAAATATTTTTTTTAATTACTATGCACAGAATAGGATAAGTCAGAATAAAAGATCACAAGGTGATATTAAAAGATCACAAGGGTATTCTTGTTTTAGCTGGGGATTTTAACTCAATTGTAGATCCACTACAGGATGAAAAAAATCCAGTAGGCACTTCTATTAGTAGACATTCTGTAAAACAAGCAAAATCACTAACGAATATTCTTAATTTAAACAATTTATATGATATATGGATAGTGTTCCACCTTGAGGAAAGGGAATATACTCATCTTTCCAGGGTTCATCATTCTTTATCAAGGATAGATATGATATGGGGTATTCATATGCTAATAGAAAAGGTTAAAAGGGTAGAAATAATTGATAATGCGTGGTCCGATCACAGATCACAGATCTAATCTTTATTAGAAAATACAGATAACTGTAATTTTATAAAACAAAAAATAGCAGATTTTTTGGGGGAAAATAATGTAGCAGACACTACTTCGGGCACATTCTGGTGTGCCTTTAAGGCCGTAACTCGCGGCCACTGTATAAAAATACAAAGTAGATTAAAAAGCAAGCTGGCCAATCATTATCAAATCTATATCAAGAACACTATCAACTGACTAGAGAGTATAAAATAAATCTATCACAAGATACTCTAGATAAATTCATTAAAAATAAAGCCCTAATTAGAGATAAAATTACAGAAAGAATAATAGCGAATCTTGAGAAAAATGAAAATAAACTACTATTATAGAGGAAATAGGGCAGATAAAATGCTCACTAGAAAATTGAAGAAAAAAAACAAACAGATAACAGAGTACACAAATTAATGATCAATTCAAGAACATATGTTAACCCTGAAGAAATTGGACGGGCATTTTATTCCTGAGGTTTGGTCCTCAAGGGGTTAATGATAAATTAGAGGGAGATAGATTCCCGGAAGAGATGACACGAGTAAATATTATACCAATATTAAAGCAGGGTAAGAATCCATCAAAGATCACCAATTATTGCCCAATTTCACTTATTAATGTCGATATAAAGATATATGCTACAGTTCTCTCCGCTACAATAAAAACTATCATTAGAGAGTTGATCCATCCAGATCAAGTGGGTTTTGTCCTGGAGAGAACTTCAACATCAAACTTTAGGAGGATTATCGACATTCTGGATTTTGTG